CCTTCCCAGCCCAGTGTCTCAACTTTTTGTTCATGATCCTCCTCACTGTGCTTCCCTTATAGCTGGGATTTCAGACACACAACACTACCATACCCAGCTTGTTTGCTGGGATGGGGTCTTGAATTCATCCCTAAGGGTGACCTCAAACCTTCATCCTTCTAATCTCTACCTTCCAAGTAGTCTGAATTACAGGCATGAGCCACCTTGCCTACTCAGACCACTCACACCCCATCCCCCAGACTCCAGCAGGCCTTTTGCTCAGTCTGTCATTATGATATGTTACAAAGAGACCCAGATACTGCGGGGTCTGGGAATGAGGGATCCCCTTCTGCATCCTTGCCTGCACCATGCTTGATGCCAGGCACTTGCTTTGACTAAGGGAAAAGCGGCAGATGCTAGTCATACAGGGAAGGGCAGGCAGAGACGGGCTTCCAGGTCCTGTTCCTCTCCCCTCTCCTCAAGCCCTGTGCAGCCTGAGACCACTGAATGCTAAGTCAGTGGGACGCTACCTGACTCAGACAGTAGGTCACGGCGGCCTGGACCCTTCCACCCCCCATTGCCTGGAGAAACAGCCCAGGCAGGCACCTGCATCCTGCAGACTCCAAAGTTTTGTGGCAGTGGTTGGCTGCTTACCCTCAGGGCTGCCCTGCCTCCGCCCTGTTCTTAACACCACTCTTCCACCTGAGCTTTCCGGGATCATCTCTAGCACCCCAAAGTCAGGCCATCAAAGCCCTATGTGTGGTCTCTCCATCCCAGGACCACAGTTTTAGGAACCCCCCAATGTTGGCCTGAAACCATACTCAGCCTCAACCCTGCCTCTCCCCCTGTTCTTCTACCATAGCCCCAGCTCACAGCCAGCCAGGTTGGAGAGTGGTGGGCTGGACTCCTCGCCTGCCCCCCAGGACCTCCACCAGCATGATATCATCCCCTCCCCCACCCCCACAGCCGGGGAGAGCTGCTCAAATTGCTCCTCAACAGGGCCCAGGGATCTGTGGTGATTTGCTTCGGTCTCCTCCTCCTAGTTGGTCCCAAGGCTCTCTTTCACTGTTCCCTCACCCCCACCCCGCCCGCCCTTAGCTTTACTAAGCCAGAGCTAAACTGACCTCTTTTCTGTTGGCTAAAGGTGCCCGGCTCCTGGCCAGCCCAAGGACCTTACACACTGCTGTCATCTGCCTAAGTCTCAGGCCTGGGCTGAGATCTACCCTCCCCTAAGACCCCCTGCAGCCCCTCCCAGCACACATGGCCCCACTCACCTGGAGTCAGGGGCCGCTCCACAGCCCCACCATGTGGCAAGTGTTCATCCTCAGAGAAGCTCGAGTCCTGGTTGGGTTCAAAGTCCTCCTCGGCGGCCATGCACTCCATCAGCTTGCTCACGGCCCCGCCTTTGCCCCGGTTCTAGCCACAAAACACAGCAGAGAGCTGAGGATGAAGTAGGGGACCTGCCCAACGCATAGCCATGGTCGAGGCCAGCCAGGCTGCAGTGGTATCTGCTGCGTGCACAGTGGCCAGGGCTGAAAGTACTCAGCTGAGCACTCCATCCATCACAGCAGACATCGGGGTTTCTTTCTTGGGGAAACTGAGGCAACAGCTCAGCTGTGTGTGATGCATTTGAGGGAACTGCTCCCTCAATTCCCCAAAGGAACACTTGTCCCCGTGGCAGGGCAGGCCTTGAGCTGCTGGGCGGGTTGTTGGCCTCCCTTATTTGCCAATGTGGGTGTCAGCTCAGATGGGGGCTATGGTCAAGGACAGACAGCACGTGGAGCCTCTTGGGCTCATCGCCCTATCTCTACCTCCAGGAGACACTGGCGGGGTGGGCTTTGGGGTCCGTACCCCTTACCCTGGGGACACCTGGGCCCAGACTCCTCCCACACCCCTTGGGGCCTCACCTCCTTCTTGGTCTCCTTCCCCTTGGGCTTGGCCTTGCTTCTCCTGGCGGTCACCAAGGCCCCAGCGTGTGGGGCTCTGGCCTCGGGAGGCAGGGCAGGAACCCGGGGGGCTGGCAGGGAGGCGGCTGGCCCGGCCTCTTTGCCTTTCTTCTTCTGCAGGAACAGTAAGTAGAGCGCTCAGAAGGCACAAAGGGTCCAGGCCCTCGTCCTGCTCCCCCCCTCCAGGTCCAGACAGCCTGTGAGCACGCCATACCAAACAGAAGAACGAGGCACTTGGTGCCCTTCAAGCGTTCTTGTCTTTTTTGTTTTTTTATTTTATTTTATTTTTTTGGGGGGGTGTTTTTTACTGCTGGTGGAGGCTTGGACCCAGGGCCTGGGTGCTGTCCCCAAGCATTTTTGCTCAAGGCTAACAGTCTACCACTTGAGACACAGTTCCACTCTGGTTTTTATTTTTTTTAATTAGAGGTAAGAATTTCATGGAACTTTCCTGTCGGGGCTAGCTCTGAACCTCAATCCTCAGATCTGAGCCTCGAGTAGTTTAGTTAGGCATGAGCCATGGATGCCCAAGGTGTTTTGGTTTTTCCTCTCCATTTTTTTTCCCTCTTTTGCCCCTCTCAGAGTCTTGTGCTTGCTTGGCAAATGGCTCTGCCACCAGCCACGCCCTCACCGAGCGCCCCCCCACCCCCACTGAGCCTCTCCATTATTTTAATACTTTATGTTCCTTGTTGCTTCTGAAATAAAGACAATGCACATAAGTTGTCTTTTGTCTCATAGCATGGATACGTATGCATTCCTCTCAAACAAGTCTCCATCCTGATATGCCCTTCCAGAACATTCCATGAGGTAAACATGAAGGGTCATGAATACATATTTATATACATGTTTTGGTTTGTGGGTTTTTTTTTTGGGGGTCCGGTCATGGGGCCTGAACTCTGGGCCTAGGCGCTGTCCCTCAGCTCTTCAGCTCAAGGCTAGCGCTCTACCACTTGAGCCACAGCACCACTTCCGACTTTTTCCGCTTATCTGGTACTGAGGAATCGAACCCAGGGCCTCATGCATGCAAGGCAAGCACTCTACCACTGGGCCACCTTCCCAGTTGTGGGTTTTTAAGCAATGTTGGGGCTGGAACTCAGGGTGTTATGCATACTACACAAGTGCTCTACCACTGAGCTGCGCCCCCAGCCGAGTGTTTTGTGTTTTTAAACACAGGTCCAGAAATCCTGCTTTGAGCCAGGGATGGCGGTCCACGCCTGTGATCCCAGCACTTGGAAGACGGAGGTAGGAGGATCAAGAGAAGATGGAGGAGGGAGGGGAAGGAAGAAAAGGGAGTCCTGTCAAGGCTGGTGTGCAGCGGTGGCTCTGTTGTCATGTAGCAGTGTGACTGTGTCATGTGAGCATCCCCAGAAATGGGCCTGTTGACCCCTTTCAAATGATGCCCCACCCCAGCCAGGCCTTGCTGTCTAGCCACTCCTGCCCATGCTGATGCCAGAGCCACACCATCCCCAGCACCTCAGAGGTACCCTACTCGGGAACAAACAAGTGTTCCTTTGCCTGTGGGTGTGGAAGGCAGCCCAAAGCGTCACACATGGCCCTGCCAGCGAGCAAAGATCTGGAAACCAACTACAGGCCACCGATCAGAAAGCCCGCATACAGCTGTGGGACACAGTGCCACATGGCCCAGCAGAGAAGATGGACCCCGGCCTGGGTTCTTCCAAGGAAAGAAAGTGACAGAGAGAGAGGCAGGGAGGGAGAGGGAGGAAGGAAGAAAGAAAAGGGAGGAAAGAAAAAAAAAAGGGAGAGGGAGGAAACAGACAAGAAGGAAAGACAGAGAAGGAGCAGGGAAGACAGAGGGAAGGAGGGAGAAGGGGGGAATTCCTGAGGCAGAAGTAGCAGTGGGGGATGGGGGGGCATGACTCTGGGCTTTAACTCAGTGGCTGAGCACAAGTGCTCAGGGCAAGGCCCTGGCCCTAGTACAATCCATCATCGTCATCATCTCACTGTGCCACACCAGGGACCTGTAGCCTCCCCAGGACCAGCTTGGTCTTGTCTGGGCCAGTGTGGCCAGGACCACAGGCCTGGTCACAATGGGATGACACAGCCACTGGAGTGGTTCTCAGGGTGGTGTCTGAGGAGGAGGCAGATGCCCTAGCAGAGGCCTTCAGGTCAAGGGGAGGGGTGCCCTTTAAGGCTCTGAATAGTCTCTTCCTGTCCCTCTGCTCCCTGGCTTGTGAGTGGAACAGTTTTGCTCCACCTCCTGATACTGCCTCAATACAGGCCAATGGATCCTATACTGAAACTTCCAAAATGCTGAGCCGGAGGTATAGTTCACGTGGTAGAGAACACCTGGCTAGCAAAATAAGTCTATTTAAAAAAAAAAAAAGAAAGAAAGAAAAGAATAAAAGTAAGACAGAAGCTGGTGGCTCATGCCTGTAATCCTAGCTACTCAGGAGACTGAGATCTGAGGATCGCAGTTTAAAGTCAGCCCAGGCAGGAAAGTCTGTGAGGCTCTTATCTCCAATAAACCACCAGAAAACCAGAAGTGGCACTGTGGCTCAAGCGGTAAAGCACTCGCCTTGAGCTGAAGAGCTGAGGGACAGCGCCCAGGCCCAGAGTTCAAGCCCCATGACTGACCAAAAAAAGAAAAAGGAGACAAGGTCTCACTATCCCAGGCTGACCTTGAACTCATGATCTTCCTGCTCCTGCCTCTCAAATACAGAGATTATAGGCATGCTCCACCACACCCTTGTTGTGCATATTTTATCTCAGCTGCAGACTAACTTGGGCTCACGTGGCACACACAGGCACACGGATGACACAGAAACAATTTCCCAAGGCTAGGGCCCTCCCCATGACCCCCTACCTTCCGAGGGTCCTTCCTGTCCTTGGCCCGGCCTGCGTCCTTGCGTGGGCTGGGTGCGCTGGCCTTGGCGCGGGCGGCCCTGGGTGCAGGTGCGCTGCTGGGTGCGGGGGCCGCTGCGCTGGCGTCGTGCAGGAAGATGCGCTCACTGCGCCGCCGTGTCCACAGGTCGTCGTCGCTGGCCTCGGGCCCGGCCTCGAAGCCTGGCTCCTTGGGGCCCCGCAGCTTGCGGGCCTTGCGCCCCTTCTCTGGGGCCAGCTTGGTCTTGTCTGGGCTGGCGGGGCCGGGGCCGCGGGCACTAGTGGTGGGTGTGGCTAGAGGGGGGCCCGGCTCCCCCAGCCCCTTCTTGGGCCGCAGCACCCCTGCAGGCGACTGTCTGCGCACCTTGACCTCGCTCTCTGAGTCCGTGTACTCAAACTCCGTGCCTGGACATGGGGGGAGGAAGGAGGCTTGTGGGCAGGGCCTCTGGGGCCCCGCTTCACGCAGTAGGCCCCCACTCCCATTCTACCCCAGGACCACACTCCAGGAAAGGGGGGGAGCGGAGAGCTTCTCTTCTGCTGCCAGGAAAGAAACTGAGGCCCAGAGGGGAAGGTGTGGGTTTTGCCCAGGCCCACCTACCCCAGCTCTGCCTGTGTCTGGTCCCCCACCCTGGACTCCCCTCTGGAAACCTCAAGGTCTTGGGCTGCTTGAGACCCTCCCTTGGGGACCCTGGAAACGCCAGAAGGCTGGCAGGTGTCCTGGGAGAGGTGCTCACCTGCAGGGCAGTGGCCTGTGGGAGGCAGGTGGGGAAGCCCACAGGAAAGCCCCAAACCCTCTGTGCTGGGCAGCCCCAAGTTCCCCTAGGCCTCTCCCCTTCCTCGATGGCTGGTCTCACCAAGGCCCGTGGCCATGGGCCCAGCCCTACTTTCCGGCCAGGCCAGAGCCACATCCTCCACAGTCTCCTTTGACTTGGGTCTGGGGCCAAGCGACCTCTGACTGCACAGCTTCTGGCTCCAGCCCACACCTCATATCCTCCCTGCTTTCCCTCCATCCCTCCTCCAACCTCAACGTGGGGTGTCAACTCTGCTGTGGCCAGAGTTGACACCTAGCCCTGGGTGTCCCCTTCATCCACAACCCCCTGGTCACTGGCAATGGTCCCTCCCAGTGTCCTATCCCCTATCTTGACCTGTGTGGCCTGTCCCACTCCCACGAGGGGCTCCCTGAGTTCTCCAAGGGTCTCTGGTGATCCTCATTGCTGAGCCCAGCATGGTGCCGTGTTCAGCACAAGTATCAAGAGAGGGCCTGGTGGCCTGGCCAGACTCAGGATGAGGTAACTGGGCCAGCCTGCTGGGGTGACAGCCCCAGACAGAGCCAGTGACCTGCCTGAGGACTCTTAGAACCCAAGCCCAGACACCAGAGCTCAATTCCAGCCCTCATACCACCTTGGGCAGCAGGCAGCCAGACGACTCCGGTGTTCACAGCAAGCCCTGCTCTGGAGTCTTGTTTATCTTGTGTTGACAAACCTCCTACAACACAGGGAGCCACAAGGGGTCTCGGGAGGCAACGAGAGTTCAGGCCAAACAGCTAGAACCCCTATGTATAGCCCCACTGCTGGTGTGCATGTGGAGTAGGTGGCAATGGACAGGGAAGGTCCACTTGGAAGGGGAATATGGTGTTACAGGGGTGACATCTTATTCATGCCCCTCATACTCAATTCTTACTAATCTTCTTGGCACATAAAGCAGGGAACGCGGGACACATATGGGAAAGAAACAAGTCCTTCTGAGCTCAGGAAACAGGAAAGAGCCAGCCAAGCATGGTGGTGGTGCACAGCTATAATCCCAGCACTCTGGAGGCTGAGACAGAAACATCTCAAGTTCCAGGCTACCCTGGGCTACATGGTAAGGCCCTGTCTCAAACCACTAAAGGAAAGCAAGCAGGAGAAAGAAACCTAGAAATAAGAGAATGGAAAAAGAGCCACAAACTCTGCTCACCCACACTTTGAAACTACTCACACACAGAACAGACCCAACGCAGCCCAGAGAACATCAGAAACCAATCTCAACAGAGACCAGAGTAGCCCCTGCCAAAAACACAGAAGCTGGAGTTTGAACCCAATCAAGACAAGGTCAGCTGAAAGAGAAGAAATACTAGTCAGGTACTAGAGGCTCACACCTGTAATATTACCTACTAAAGAGGCTGAGATCTGAGGATTCCAGTTTGAGGCAAGCCCAGGCAGAAAAGTCAAAGAGACAATTATCTCCAACTAATTAGCAAAAAGCTTGATATGAGCTGGGTGCTGGTGGCTCACACCTGTAATCCTACTATTCAAGAGGCTGAGATCTTGCTGGGTGCTGGTGGCTCATGCCTGTAATCCTAGCTACTCAGGAAGCTGAGATCTGAGGATCACAGTTCAAAGCCAGCCCGGTCAAAACCGTGAGACTCCTATCTCCAATAAACGACCAGAAAACCAGAAGTGGTGCTGTAGCTCAAATGGTAGAGCGCTCGCCTTGAGCTGAAGAGCTAAGGGACAGCACCCAGGCCCACAGTTCAAGCCCCATGACCAAAAAAAGAGGCTGAGATCTGAGGATCATGGTTCAAAGCCAGCTGGGGCAGATGAGTCCATGAGACTTACCTCCAATAGAACTACTCAGAAAAATCCTGCACTGTGGCTCAAGTGGTAGCCTTGAGCAAAAGCAGCTCAGGGACAGTGCCCAGACCCTGAGTTCCACAATGTCTAGTATACAACCAAAAATTACTCAACAGATGGCGCCTAACACATGCTAGAGAGAAGAAAAACAGTTGCTTTAGACTGAGATGAAGCCAGCGTTAGAAACAAGATAAGGATTCACCCTGAATATTACAACTATCCTTGAAGACATAAAACAAAACCTGGAAACTTCTCTAAAGATATTTAAAGGGCCAGTAGAGAGAACTAGGAATGTGGCTTAGTGGTAGGAATGCTTGCCTAGCATGCATGAAAAGCCCTGGATTTGATTCCACAGTACCACATACACAGAAAAAGCCAGAAGTGGCATTGTAGCTCCAGTGGTGGAGTGCTAGCCTTGAGCAAAAGAAGCTCAGGGACAGTGCCCAGACCCTGAGTTCAAGACCCAGGGCTGGCAAAAAAAAAAAAAAAAAAAGGAGAGGGGAGCAGCAGAGAAACAGAAAGGGCTGAAAATAACTAAATTGTAAAACTGCAAATTGCAGTTGTGGAAATGAGAAATTCACTGAAGAAAGAAGGCTGGGAGCACCATACCTGGAGATCAAACCCTGGTACTGTTTTTTTTTTTTTTTTTAAAGAAGCCAGGCGCCAGTGGCTTAAGCCTGTGATCCTAGATACTTAGGAGACTGAGATTTGAGGATCACAGTTCAAAGCCGGCCCGGGCAAGAAAGTCTATGAGACTCTTATCTCTAATAAACCACTCAGAAAACCGGAAATGGTGCTGTGGCTCAAGTGATAGAGCGCTCCCCTTGAGCTGAAGAGCTGAGGGACAGCGCCCAGGCCCAGAATTCAAGCCTCACGACCAAAAAAAAAAAAAGAAAGAAAGAAAAAAAGAAGGGGGGGGTGCGCAAGAGCTGAATAAATTCAGAGAACTGTTACATGGCAACAAAAGATTGGGGGTGGTGGTGGAATACTTTAAGTGATAAAGTGATAAGGCTCAAAATCAAGAGAAATTTGCAGAATCCATACAGATATATTGTCCACACCAGGTACACTGTGGTCACTGCTGGGAGCCAAAGTAAAAACACAGTAGACAGGAGCAGGAGACATGAGACCTGCTTTAGTTTAGATCTGGAATTCCCTCATTAGGCCCCAGGAGTTGAAAGCTTAGAATTCTTTGGTGTGGTACTACCGAGAGGCAGAGGCCACTGAAGGAGGTGTGACCTCACAGGAGGAAGTTAGGTGACTGGGGGCATACTCCTGAAGGGGACTGTAGGACACCACCTCTTCCTACTTCCTCCTCTACCTTCCTACCATGAGATGAACAGTTCCTTTCAACACAGGCTCAGGGACAGTGCCCAGGCTGGGGGCTCAAGCCCCCTGACCCAAAACCATGTATGTACCTAGTAACAGCTATAGACAGGTAAAGAAAACTTGGGATAATTGAAGAACAGAGAATTCTGCAACCATAGTTGGATATTTTAACATCTACCCTCTAACAAACTGATAGTACAAGAAAATGGCAGAGAGATAAATATGGACATTACTGATCACATCAAGGTGAGTGATATTTATAAAATATACCTAAACATAGCTATGTACACATATATATATGATACTTATAAAATATTACACCTAATCATATTAATATATATATATATATAAATACATACACACACACTTCATATATGTATATAAAGTATATTTGCTAGGAAATGCCTAACAGTCAAAAAAAATGTGTGTGTGAGTATGTTGGTCCTGGGGCTTGAACACAGGGCATGGGTGCTGTCCCTGAGTTTTTTTTGCTCAAGTCTAGCATTCTACCACTTGAGCCACAGCTTTGAAATTCCATCCTCAGATCTCAGTCTCCTGAGTGCCTGGCTTCAAATATGTTACAAAATTAGAAGATAAAAATGGCAGAGTATGGGGCTGGGAAGGTGGCTCAGTGGTAGATTGCTTGCCTTGCATGCATGAGGCCCTAGGTTCGATTCCTCAATACCACATAAGCAAAAAAAGCCAGAAGTGGCACTGTGGCTCAAGTGGTAGAGTGCTAGCCTTGAGCTGAAGAGCTGAGGGACAGCGCCCAGGCCCATAGTTCAGGCCCCACAACCAACAAGAAATAAAGAAATAAAGAAAGAAGGAAGGAAGGAAGGAAGGAAAGAAGGAAGGAAGACAGAAGGACAGAAAGACAGAAAGACAGAATTGTAGAGTATGTTCTCCAATCATGGAGGAACAAACAATAAAAAACCAGCCACTGGGGCTGGGAAGGTGGCTCAGTGGTAGAGCGCTTGCCTTGCATGCATGAGGCCCTGGGTTTGATTCCTTAGCACCACATAAGCAAAAAGAAAAAAGCCGGAAGTGGCGCTGTGGCTAAAATGGTAGAGCACTAGCCTTGAGCTGAAGAGCTGAGGGACAGCGCCCAGGCCCAGAGTTCAAGCCCCACGACCAGACCCAAAAACAAAACAAAACAAAACAAAAAGCCAGCCACTAGTGGCTCACACCTGTAATAATCCTAGCTACTCAGGAGGCTGAGATCTGAGGATCACAGTTCAAAGCCAGCCAGAACTGGAAAGCTCATGAGACTCATCTCCAGTGAACCAGCAAACATCTGGAAGTGGAGAGGTGGTTCAAGTGGTAGAATACTGAGCAAAAACACACAGTGAAAGCGCCCAGGTCCCAACGGAGTTCAAGCTCCAAGACCAGCATACACATATAAAAACAGTAACAATAAGACAACCAAGCAATTTCTCTCAAATATTTGGAAAATAAACAATGCTTTTCTAAAGTTTTTCATCTGGCCTAAATAGAAATCACAAGAGAAACTACAATACATCTAACTGAAAAATGTGGTAATATATCAAAATGTGTGAGATGTGACAAGAGTAGTGTTTAGAGAGGTCTACGGCTTTTAGTGTCTTCTGGAAAAGAACGAAGCTCCTAATCAAAACCATCATCTTTTTCCTTATGAAATGGGAAATAGGTGAAAATTACACCCAAAGAAAACAGAAGGGCCAGGCGCTGGTGATTCACAGCTGTTCCCCCAGCTACTTAGGAGGCTAGCAGCTGAGGATTGCGACTGGAAGCCAGCCAGGGTAGTGAAGTCCGTGAGACTCTTATTTCCAATAAACCACTCAAAAATAATGATGGAAGGGCGCCTCTGACCCAGCCCACACCTCTCTCACTGCAGCTTGGGGTGACCTCTGGTCCCCAAGGCTGGGTTAGGGGCTCCCTCTGGCTCCCAGTCTCATACCTACAGGGTTGTGTTTACTTGGAAAGAAGGAAAGGAATTCACTCAGCTCATCTCTCCTAACGAATAGAGGCCCCATCACTAGCTGCTTTACTTGGGGCAGAGCTGCCCTGCTCTTATCATTTCTGAGCCTCAGTTTCTTCATCCGTGTGATGGGCCCACAGTACCCACCTCCCAGCAGCTGCCCACACTCACCCATTAGAGTCTGTCGCTCCTCCTTCTTGCGGGCCTTTTGCTTGGCCTCCAGCTGGACCACTGACAGGGCTGGCCCCACTGTGGGGCTGGGAAGGGCACTGGCTGCAAAACGGGCAAGCAAACCCAGCCCACTCTCCTCCAGGCCTGGCGACAGAGCCCGCTCTCGGGAGCCTAGCCTATAGCCACCACTGCCAGTTTCCTCCTCCTCCTCCTCTTCCTCCTCCTCCAGCTCCTCCTCATCGTCGTCCTCTTCTGAACTCTCATCTGGCATGCAGAAAACAGGGAGCAAGTCAGGGGCCTGGCCTAGGTGTGCACCAGCCCCCCCCCTCCCCACCACCACCTATCCCAGGCCAGAGCAGCCGCTTGATTCCAGCCTCACTCTGTCCTCACCATAGACCATAGGGAAGGATTCAGAACCAACCCTTAGCCCCTCCCATGGCCTGAGGCCTCCAACCATCAGAGCCAGGTACATAGACATCCTGGACAGCCCAGACGGGGCAGTGGCTCTGGGCACCAAAGTGGGCTTCTGGGAAGGGAGTACCAACATGCACCTGTGCTGTGGGCAGGGGACAGACACAGACAAGGACAGGAGACAGTGCTTGCCAGTCTCACACAAGCCCACGCGTACACACGTACACACACACACACACACACACATACACACATTGACGTAAACATGGAGACCAAGGAAGGAGGCAGGAGAGGAGAAAAAGGGAGGAGGAGGGGTGAGGGTGGGGTTCAGGCTGATTCTCCAGGCATGGGGTCTGTGGCAGTTTGGCCAGCGGGAAGCCTGGGGCCTGTGGCAGGGGAAGGTGGAGTATGATGGCTCTGCAGAGAATGGAGACACCATGATTCTAGAGTCTACAACTGATTCCTCATGCTGGGAAGCCTAAGGGCAGGTTGTGCCCCTCTTGGCATGGGGTGACCCTCCTGGCTCAGTTAAGAGGAGGGGACATACAGGGTCCTATATAGTAGGTCCCCCCCCCAGCTTTAAAAAGATCAAGTGGGTACGAATGGTTCATGCTTGTAATCCTATCTACTTCAGGAGGCTGAGATCTGGAGGATGGAAGCTCAAGACCAGCCTAGGCAGAAAGGTCCATAAGCTTTTATCTCCAATCACCAGCAAAATGCCAGCCTGGAAGCATGACTCAGGTTGTAAGAGCCAGCCCATAGGCAAGAAAACTGAGCAAGTTCAAGGCCCTCAGTTCAAAAGTCCTAGTACCAATGAGAGAGGAAGGAGAGAGAGAGAGAGAGAGAGAGAGAGAGACAGACAGACAGACAGAGACACAGAGAGACAGAGACAAAGAAAGCATGGGAAGAAGCAGGTGACTCCTGCTGCCTACACAGGAACTAACTGCACTGTTCCACTCCTGGGAGCTACAAAGCAGCTCTGGCAGCTCTGGGGTGGGGGACCTGACCCAGGTTGTGTCTCTGAGGGGTGAAGCTGAGGTTCAGCAACATGAACTGCTATCCTGCGCGCCAGCAGCCCACATGGCCAGGACATTGGCAGCTGGGAAAAGCAAGGACAGGATATTGCAACCTCCATGTAACCAAACCTTCCATCAGAAATAAGATATGCTTTCAAAATAAGATTGGCCTCTAACTCAAGATCCTCTTCCTTCTGCCTCCCAAGTGCTGGGATTACAGACGTATACTACCATGCTGGTGAAGAGTCTACCTTGAAGTATAAACTTCCTTCTGTCTTTCCCCAGTAGAGGGCCAGGCAAACCCTGAGGAAGCAGGCAAGGGGTATGGAGAGCTTGTTCAACGCACCACAGAGCAGGGCCTCAGGAGCACTAAGAGCCTGTGGCCACGGACAGGACCCAGGAAGCTTGGGAAAGAACTATGTTCAACAAGTGGCAGGACATACATACTGTGGGCCAGATGTGTGGCTGGAAAAGAGACAAGTGAACAGAGAAAAATGAGTGGACAAGGAAAGAGGGGTAGTCGAGTCTCCGTTCCTCTGCCAAAGCCCCAGGCCACTGCTCAGTGAAAAAGCAACCAGTGGCTAAAAGTACAGCCCAGAGAGAGGTGCTGTGTCCCCTAAGCCACCCTGGGAGGGGGGCCCCCAGAGCTGGGGGAGGCTGCACAATGGGTAAGGCGATGGAGGGGGAGGGGGAGACCAAGGGGAGGGCAGGGCTCCCGTGGGTAGCGTAGCGATGGATGAAGCAGGCTGGGGAGGCCAGCAGGGCAGGCAGGGGACAGGCGAGCAGTGCACACTTGCGATCATTCACATTGCGACATCACATGGTTGTCTCCGCCCCAGTGAGCCACAGCGGCAAAGCAGGCTAAGTGTAGGCAGACTCGACAGCGCCTGGGTCCCCCAGTTAGGGCCCCTACCCTGGGACTGGCCAATTTGGGCAGGGGAAGGAAGAGGGTGGTGGGCTGGGATGGGGGTCAGTGATTTCTCCTTCTCAAAGCCCCCTGTCCTGGTTGCTCAGGTGTGGAATTTTCTAGAAGGAGTCTCAGCTAGCAGCTTAGACAGAGGGCCAGCTCTGGGTTTCTGAGAGCCACAGTGGCCATGTCAGACCCCAGAAAGCCACAAGCAGGCCAATCCCAACACCTTGGCCTTCAGGAAGTACAAATCACCTGCAAAAGGTGCGCTCCAATTCTCCTGTGGCCTTGTGGCCTTAGTCCAGAGACATGCCAAGGGCAGAGGGGGAGAAAAATCCCAAAGGCACCCAAGGAAATGCGGGGGGGAAAAAAACCACGAAAAAACAAAAACCCAAGAAACCAAAACAATAACGAAAAAAATAACCCAAAATAAAAAAAAAACCATTTTTTTTATATTAAACAAAAAGAAAAAAATAGATCTTGACTCAGGGCAAGGGATAGTAGGCTATTGTCTATTTTGTTTGGTTTCCCAAACCCAATAAGCCAAAGCGCTTCAGCTGTTGGCAGACCCAGTGGGGACAGACCCCAAGGAGGGGAGGTGAAGAGAGGGCAGAAAGAAAAGGGTTTTGCCTACCCCAAGCTCAGTTACCCGCTGCGCCGTCTGCCCTACTCCCAGCCTTCGCTTTGCGTCCAAGTGCAGCATGAGGGTAAATGCAAGAGACCGAAACAGACACTCAAAGCATCATGGGTAGGGGTCAAGGGTGGAGGTATGGTCAAGCTGCTGAGAGGAGAAAGCAGACACACTAGAAAAAGCCAAGCCAATTAAGTGTTTAGTACCAGGGGGACAGGAAGGCCCTATTAACCAAAATATCCCTTTCGAGACCTCACCAATGATCGGCTTGGTGTGCAGGGGCCCAGCTGGGGGAGCTGAGGACCCCCCCCCCGGCCCCTTCCTCCCATTGCTCCCCTAGCTGGGTTCCTCCTACCAGCACTGCTATCCCCGGGACCCCTTTCGGAGAAGTCTGGGGGGATGGGAGGGTTACATACTTGTCTGTGGGATCTAGCTAAGGACAGAACTCCAAAATGTGGGTGTGTTGGGGAGAAGGCAGGGGGAAGGCCCAGCTCAGGTCAGAGAGTAGAAATGGAGAGCCAGGCCAGTCATCCACAAAAGAAGGGAGACCTGGGTCAGGAGACTGGCAGGTAGACTGGTGGCCTTTCTCTGCAGCCCAGCTTGCATTGGGGCTCAGAAGTGGCAGGGGCCCGGGAGGAACTAGCCCACAGGGCCCCAGGCTTCCTGTGCGCCACCTCTTGACCACCCAAAAGCCATCTCTGCTTATTTGGACAGAAGGCCTGGGAAGGGAAAGGCTGGGCAATAGAGGGATGGGCTGATCTGGTCCCAGGGGCCCCATACCAGGTGACATTCACGTTCATCGTGATTCCCCTAGCCACCCCAGGCCTTCCTTGGGGAGCAGGTGCCATGGGATGCTACACAAGGCTCTGGAGAACCCCATGGCCTGATTCTAAAGGAAATCCACCCTGAAGCAAAACCACAAAAGCCTAGAACATTCTCACATTTCTGGTTGAAGGGCTTTGGAGGGCTCTGATGTTTCTGACAGCACACTACAAGGCTGGCTCACGCTGGAGAATTGGCAGCCAAAGCCATCTTGGCGGTCATCCGGTCGTTCTTGTTTTAAAGGACCCCTGGCTGAGCCCAGGCTACACCAGGCTGGGGACTCACAACCATAACGCAGTGTCCCAATGAAGCTAACCATTTCTAAATCCAACAACAAAAATGAAGGTTGGCAAAGGGCCTTGTGCCCCAGCTGCCTCCACGCCCTTCTAAGCAGAAATGCTAGTTAAAAGCCATGTGTTGATTGGTTAATATTCTTTTAACCAGTGGTGAGTCACAGGAGAAGCTTTAAGAAAACTTAAAAAAAAATTAAAAAAAAAAAGAACCCACAAACAAGCAGCTTTGAAAAAAATTAAAAGTAAAAGATATACACAAACATACACGAAAAAGAAATGGATGCGGGAACCACTGGGGATACTGGAGTAATAGAAAGGAATGGTCCCCCATGTCTACTCCTTCTGGGGTAGGGTGGGGAGAAGGATCAGGAGGGAGGAAGGGAGCAACAAATGGGGGGAAAGTGTCAACCTAATGTCTAGTAAGGACACAGCAAGAGAGACAAGGTACACAGTTTAGTTAAAAATGAACTTGGTATGTTTAATAGAGCTTGGTATTACCAAAATCGCGGTACAAACATCAAGTCACACGCCCACACGACTGACAGAAGTCCATTTACAAAACTCTCCTGGGCAGCTTCCTCCGACCCGTGCCAGGGGACAGTGCCCAGCCCGGCCTGTGGTTGCCTGGGAGGGTCAGAGAGGCACGGGGCCTTGGGGCAGGGGCGGGGACAGGGGCAGGGGCGGGGACAGGTTGGGAGAAAGGCAGGGAGTGAAGACTAGAAGCCAGTCGGTGTGAGGCTGCAAAAGAGCCAGCCAGTGATGAAATCAAGATGGTAACAGTACAAATAAAAATCAAATCAAAACAGGGCAGATAGGGCAGACTACGCTGCCAAAGACCAAGACGGCTGTCCATCTGCAGCCATCCTTGCTGTGCGATCTCTCTTTCTCTCTCTCTCTCACTCACTCACTCTCTCTTTCCCCCATACTCACTCTCACTCTAAAACATGGAAGGGATTGTGTGTTTGGAGCTAGTAACCTTGGTCAAAGGAGTTCTCCGAAGAGTCGCTGAAGGAGGAGCGGGCCTCGGCTTCTCGAAGCAGTAGGCAGAAAGGCTGCTTTCTGCCAGCACCTGCCTTGGCTTTCAGAGTTCGGGGGGCTGCTAGGCCCCTCTTGGCCAGCTTGGGGCCTGCCACTGGCTTGCTGTTCTTGGCCACCATGCCGCACAGGAGGGAGGAGGTCAGTTTGGAGCTGGAGGGGCCTTGAGCAGACCACTCATCCTTCAGGAAGTCATCCTCTTCCTCAGAGTCCGTATCTGTAGTCAAAGTGGTTTGGCATAGGTAAGTCACGGGTGCAGGAGGAGGGGGCTCGGATCTTTGCCATACCATCACTGGTGCCTCTGAGGGCATGTCAAAATACAGGGCCAAGTGCCCAGTGGCCCTGGGGAGACCTCTTGGGATGCCCAGCTCTTCTCCTGGCCTGGGGAGGTACCTGAGTATGTGTACCATGCAGACTGGGTCACCTGACCAGAGTAAGATGTGACAAAGGTCCCACTTCAGTCACATCTGCCTCTCCAGTGCCTGGGAGGACAGAGCCACTGAGCCTCGTTCTCAGGAAGGATTCTCTTAGGATCCTGGAGGCCACCATACATCCTTCCTTTCCACCTTTCACCAGATGGCAGGGTCCTGAGGCTCCCCTGGGGAGGGACATGGCTCAGGAGGAAAAGGGTGCAATCACATTCGTCTCCTCCCAATCCTCTACTGGCAACATCACAGAGGTAGCTTCAAAAGGCGTGGTGAGAATCATACCAAGGGAAGTGACCAATGATGCCACGCTCAGGGCCTCCCCTGGCCCTCTTCTCCCTCAGAGCCTCCTGACCACCATATCACATCACCGGCTCAGTATAAGGTTCTGGCCTAGACATATCTCTGAAAGCCAGAGATGTGAAACTTTCCTGGGGGTGGGGATGGGGTAGTCTATGAAGGGGGCCATAGTACTGATCCTGTATAATCAACACACACCTGCACCATTTTGATCTGTTTTACTACTGGGCTATATTGGGCAAGACCTGAAAAATGGCTCCACAGCCAAGCCCATAATCTCTTAGTCTGGTAAAACCCATGCCCAGCAGAAGAGGGTTCACACGTGCAGCAATACTTCTAGTAACACCTGCCATCTCCTAGGCCAAGAGCAACCACGTGCACACAGGTGAAGGGACATGCCTGGCTGTTTCCTGACAGCCCCACTGTCCACTGAGCCAAATCCCCACTGCAGCGGGGAAGTCAAGGCCTGCCAAGTCACCAGCCTGCCACATCACAGCTCTCCCTCCTGTTGCATTCTCCTTTGTCCATTCAGTGGCCATATCCCAGGCCATCGGCAACAACCAACTTGGTGTCCCATGAGAACCAACTGGAGATGCCGCACATGAGCTGCAACCCAAACTCAGAAAGCACCAAGGTACATTCTCTTCCATCCCCTGCAGCAAGTCTGTCACAATTCTGCTTCCCTGGTGTCCAAGGACCTGGGCAGTGCTACCTGACCACAGTTATATGGATCTTGAAGTTACTGAAGTAAATGACAATCTCACATGTCCTGGGTATACAAGGCACATGCTGAAGACCCACTAGTCCAGGACACACACACACACCCCTGCAACAAAACATCAGCAAACCTATACCAGTAGCCACACGCAGCTCTTGGTTCACATGAGCACCCTTAAACCCTAATAGCCCTAGAAGACAGATGGTATTTTAAATTCAAGCCCAGAGGCACTTAAGTACATGCCTGGGCTGAGGCCATGGCTCAAGTGGCAGAGCGCCTGCCTAGCAAGAATAAGGCCTTGAGTTCCAACCCTGGTACCACCACCAAAGTAAAAAAGGAAAAGGTGAAAGGCAGGGGAAAAGATGAGAGAGAGAGGATGAGAAGAAAAAGGATGAAAAAGGGAGGGAGGGAAGGAGGGAAGGAAGAAGGGAAGAAGGGAGATGAGGATATCTTTAAAAAAAACAAACAAACACAATTATTGTTTCTGTCATTTCTTTTTTTTGGTACTGTTAGGTTTTTAAAAAGAGGTGGCCGAGTAAGAACTGCACCACGCACGTGGTATTCAGGTAAGGGGTTTATTCAGTAGACCTGCTGGGACCAGGCAAGGTTGGCACTCCACGCGGCTGGCAAAGGAAAAGAAAAAAGGGCGGTCTGGCCGCGGTTTATTCCTTATATAGGGTAGGGGGGTGCGGAAGGGTGTGTCCAGGTAAAGGGAAGTGGGGTCAGGTGGGAGAAAGGTGTGGCCACATCAGGTTAAGATGTGACCTCAGCGGATGCGGATGTGACCTCTTCCAGGTGTCCCAGTTGCCTAGGTAACGCAGGTACTGGGCGAGGTCTGTTCGCCATCCAGGAATGGACCTTACAGGTACCAGATATGAAACCAGAGAAAAGGAAAGCTTTTAAGCTGAATATGGCAGCTGAATATACCGAATATGCAATCCCAACTCTCAGAAAGATGAGGCAGGAGGATGATCTCAAGTTCAAGGCCAGTCAGGCCAAAAAGACTATCAGGAAGGAAAAGGAAAAGAAGAGACATATAAAAGGGAAAAAGGACAGGAAAGAAAAGAAGAGGAATGAAGCTAGATGCTGGTGGCTCACACCTGTAGCCCTAGCTATTAGGAAGCTGAGACCTGAAGATCATGCTGTGAGAAAAATCTTGTCTTTTCTACTAAAGTAGTTTTCTTCCTTTCTGTTGACCTTGAGAGAAAGGTTTTTCTGAAGAGTTCCTGCTTTGGCCAAGTAGCTTGGCCCTGGCTAATTACATTTTAGTTACATACATCCTTTTCCTGAGCACTTGAATTAGGACCTCCTGTTAGAAACTCCTTGAATTTTAGTTACACGCTGTTAATTAAGCTGCAACCTTGTGTACATGGTGAGCCTGAGCCTCCTCCAAGGTGAGCAGAAGAGCAAAGCCCACTGGGCTAGGGATAAAAAGGGAGCAACCTGCCTGCTCTTTGCTTGCTTGGCAGATTTTTGGCTGATGGAGCACTCTCCTGCGGCAGTAAACCTTGCCTTGCTAAGTTCCTTTCCAGTTGGGTGTCCCTATTTCTCAACATCCTGAGCTAATTCTAACAATGGTTCAAAGCCAACCCTGGCAGGAATGTCCATGAGACTCTTTTTGGTATAAGCCAGAAGTAGAGCTTTGGCTCAAGTGGTAGAGCAAAAGAAGCTGAGGGACAGTGCCCAGGCCCTGAGTTTAAGCTCCAGAACTGGCACACTCCCCCCCTCTCCCCAAAAAAAGGAACAAGAAAACACACACACACACACAAAACCCCCCAAAACAAACACCTGGTTACATTAAGTGTGTCAGTTTTCCACTCAACATTGAATGCCCCCACCCCACCCCTCACACACACAACTGTAAAAACCCACACACAACCAGTCACTCACGCCTGCAATCCCTAGCTACCCCAGAAGGCTGAGATCTGAAGCTCTCCATTTGAAGAAATGTCCCTGAGACTCTTATCTCCCGCAAATTTACCAGCAAAAAGCTGGAAGTGGAGCTGTGGTTCAACCAGCAAGTCCTCTACCCCACAGGGGCCTAGGGACTGCTAGCATCAACACCAGTGGCTGGAGAGGCCCCCTTGCCTTCCTGCAACAGTCACATTTAGTACCCACGGTTCCTGGGCAGGCGGTCCCCAAGACACAGCCACGAGTGCGCAGCTCTTTTCAGCCAGTTAGCCAGGTGACAGTCACATTCCCATGCACACCACGACAGCCATCTCCATTCAAATGAAACAGAACTCCTCTTTCACTCAGACCATCAAGCAACGACTCCATTGTGCAGGCCCAATAGCACATGGCTTCCCATGGTAGGTAGGGACCGAGTGGGGACCCAGCCGCTGTGGTGGGTGCCAGGCAGAACCAGGTGTAACCCCGAGCTGGACTGTCACCCCACCATGCACACACTTGTTCCTCAACCCCTGAGGTTGCCTTAAGCAGCAAAATAATGACTGCTGCTTGCAGGGCTGTCAGAGACAACGAAAATAGGTCTGCAGAAGCCACCATTTCTGGGCCCAGCACTAGGAGCACGATAAACTTCCCGTGGGCAAGGGAATCAACCCCTCTAGCCCCCTCAAGAGCAGTTGTACTCCAGGCCTCTCTAGGCCAACCAGCCACAAACTCTATGTATGGGAGGTCTCTTTGAGGAAAGCTTTCCAGAGGCTAGAGGTGGGGGAAGCAGTCAAATGTCCTGCCTGCCAATCAGAAGTCTCCAGGTATAAGCTCAACGCGGCATCCACCAATCACAAGCACTCCTGCTTCAAGTGCACCCACTTCTGGCCTACAAACAGCGCGCAAAGACCGCCCAGAGATTAATAGGAAAGGAGAGAAGCAGCGACTTCAAGGCAACACGGCGTCTGCTACTTACTGTAAGAGTAGCTGCTCACTTCTGAGGCGAACGGGGAATGGGCTGACTTGGGCTGGCCTCTGACCTTGAACCCCACCTCCATCTTCCTGGCTTTGGCGGCCCTTTTGTGTTTCCCTTCTCTGGAGGATTTCAAAGACAGGCCCAAGCCTTTGGCCAGAGCCTTCCTGTCCTTGCCCAGCAGGCTGTCATAAGGGGTCAAGAACCTGCTGCAGCCCCCATTGCTTTTTGATTTCCCCCCAGAGGGGTCCGAAAACTTGAAGGGCGACTTCAACTTGTCCTGCTTTGTGAGGGAGAGGGCCTTGTCTAGCTTGCTTGCCAGTTGTTCCTGGTCACTTGCCATCTTCTTCTTCTTAATCTTCAGCTGGAGAAGCAAATTGGGTCACAGTTTAAGACATTTTCTGGGGGGGAGGGGATACCAAAAAGCAGGATAGTGTCCTGACAAGCCTGGCCTCCAAAAATTTAACTCAACCTTAATCCCTACACTCTCAAGTGGGAAGCTTGGCATCTGGCTATCACCAGATTGCTCTGAAGGTGAACTAAGACATATAATAAATACATTTATCAAAATGCCTCAGCCCATAACCAAGGCCCAGAACCACTGGTTAAATAGCTGCCACTGGCCATAATTGCCACAGGCACTGGTTTTTCATAGCTCTGGATGGTGCTTCCTAGCAAGCAGAGTTGCCCAATAGCCTGGAGAAGGCAGCTGAATCAGGAGAAGAGGAAGAATGACGATTGAAAACTGAGATCAGAGCCTGGCTTGATCTGCTTATCTGTAAACCACCTACAACAGCTGACACAAGAGACCGCACAGTCTAAAACCAGCCTGTCCAACGAAATAGGCTAAAGCTGCCAAGAAAATGCCTGGAGTGTGCCTTGGATGCCTGAAGCAGAAAGAATAATTAGAGATTTCACAGATTAAATTCCTGCTTGCATGTCTATCATCGACTGGAGTCGTTTACTGAAGTGAAATGTGCAGTTTCAGAGCCATCAATGCCCTGCATTTCAACATGTTAATCTCCATTTGCTGGAATCAGGTAGCATTTCTAAGGAGGAAAGCAGGGAGGGTGTCATTTAAACAACAAAAGCATCCCTCACTACAATTTGAGAGTAAAGAAGGATCTTGATGTACAAAAACTGGTGCTATTTCTCCACCTGGGCCCAGCCACCCTCCCCACCCCTCCCCCGCCCCAATGTGGATGGACATTCCCCTCTAGTAACCAAATCAACCAAAACAACCTCTTTGCATGGGGTTTTAGGAGGAAGGTTGACAAGGAACATTAGCATTTAGAGACCAGGGCCTTCGGTGGATGATTTCAGTACACTGCAGAATCAGAAAAATCAAGGGAGTTGGCTCTCACCCTATAACCCCTGAAGAATTCACAGAAGAAATTACAATGGCATCAAGCCCTGGTTTCTTACAAGTATGGGATGGAGAAGCTACTCATTAAACAATTATACTGTTAAACAACAGAGTAATTGCATTCGTTGGTTAAGAACTTATAATCTTCCTGTTTGACTTAAGCAGAGGGTCATAAAGCACATAAATAGATGTAGCTTTTATAGTTCGATCGCTACCACTAAGGCTGTTCCTTCGATAGGTACCTGATCTTCTAGGAGCCTTCTCCATCCAACTGGAACAGCAGCCATTCTCCCAATGTCTGTTAGCAGCAGGGGTCCCCAAAGGGAACAGGAACTCCCAGCAGTAATAACTCCATCTCTACACCTCAGTGCAGTGTAAATGGAAGGCTGGGCTACTGACCTGACTGCATTGTAGACGAAGAGTGGGCTACTGACCTGACTCAGAAAGTCAGAGGAGGCTTCATGCTCTTCCCAGCTCTGGTTCCTCCCCCGGGCTCTTCCCATCGCCATGAGAACATCATGCTCCTCCTCAGACCCCTTGTGCCTCTTCCTTATCCCTGCTCCCAGCTCGTAGTCATCTGCCGTCAGCAAGGATTTGCTGCTCAACCTGAAACCCAAACATACCATTTGGTCATCTAGCCAGCCAAACCACCCTTGGGCTCTGGGAAGGGGGGGAGGGCCACCCCTTGTGAGACCCTGAGGTGTGCACTCTGGAATATGGAAGGGCAGGGATGGATGCGAGGGTGACCAGATCTCGTAAAGCTACAGTACTAGAAGGCTGGAATATTTGTGAATGAGGCAGAATGAGGTTTTAATGTTAAAGGAAGAGGGAAAAAAAACCCCAAAACCTTCAAGTTAGCATCCTCTGCTGGCCTGTCATGCATTTTTACACACACACACACACACACACACACACACACACACACACACACACACGCCCTTAAACAGATACTGCTTCACAAAAATATGCCAAGAACAAGAATCATAAATGCCAAGGAAATCCACCAGGGTGGGAAAAGGAATTAAGATCGAGCCCATTTGAGCTGGGCGCCAGTGGCTCATGCTTGTAATCCTAGCTATTCAGGAAGCTGAGATCTGAGGATATTAGACCAGAGGCAGACAAAAACCATGAAATGCCAATTAACCAGCAAAAAGCCAGAAGTAGAGCTGTGACTCAAGTGGTAGAGAGCCAGGCTTGAACAAAAAAATAAAAATAAAATAAATTAAAAAATTTTTGAAAGTTCAACAACACTGTGAGGCCTTGAGTAGAAGCTCATCCCCGTTCTCCTGTCAGGAGCATCCAAGGAGATTAATGCTAAGTCCTGCAGCACCATGGCACCCTTTTGCTCCTGGAATGTCTGATGCATCCTACTATGCACCTTTGGAGGCCCCAAGGCTGCCTGTGTCTACATACCCTTGGTGTCTTTACTACAAATGCTCCACCCCTTTCCTCCACAGCCCTCTAATGACACACAAGGAAGACCAAAGCCACTTGGGACAGAACCTCAGCCCTGGATGGCAAGCCGGCACTGAAGACTACCTCCAGAGGGGCTGCTCTGTCACCCCCCAGAGGATCTGGTCCCCACGGTAACCCCAGAGCCCATGGAGGGACCTTGTCCCTCCCGGCTGAAGGAAGTAGCCCTGGACAGAGACTTGTGCAGCAGAGGGAACTACATGACAGCACAAGGAGGCAGGAGGAGCCAGCAGGGCTGGCTGCTTGGCAGTCCCTTGGCAGGGAGGAGGGCCTAGAAGGGGGCCGGAAGCAGTTCTTGGCTGTGGGCAGGTAGGCCTGGGCATAGCACAGGACAGTCTCTTCTCCAGCACTGTCCTCCCAGCTCTGCTCCCCTAAATGGCTCACTCGCTCACCCTTCCTCCTGGCCCAGGTGGCAGGCTGGGCTCTCTGAGTCAAGAGCCCAGGGACTTGAGGTCTCCTGGTGCCACACGCAGGCACCTTGCGGGGGTGGGGGGGCCCTATTCCTCCCCTCTGAGCTCGGTGCCAGTCCCCGACCCGCCGAGGGGCCAGCCTTACTTTCTGCTACTGCTGTGGCTCCTCCCTCTCTTGCAGGGGGGCGACAGGGCGCTCGGGGTGTGGGTCCGTTTCCGTGGCCTGCCAGGGCCTCTGCGTGCCAGGCTCCTATGGGAATCCTCGTGCCTGTCCCTTAAAAAGAATCACAGGCTGGGCTGTGAGCGTGGAGCAGGCGGGGCACAGAGGGCACATGCACTGCACACACACCACTCACGCAGATCCACGCACACCTGACGGCTGCCACGGCCGACCTAACAACCCCGAGGCCCGCCTGCCTGCCTGCCTGCCTGCCTGCCACTGCCCGACGGGGCCGGGCTGCACTCACCCTGAGTCCCGGCGTCGCTGGAGCTTCACCAGCTCCCGCTGCTTCTCTTTGTATTGCCTCTGGACCTCAGCCAGCCGCATCCGGAAGTCCAGCTCCAGGGCGTCCATGTCCTCAAGGGAGGACTTCATGGCGTACATCTGGGTGACATCAGGGGAGAAAGGAGAGGTGTGAAGACACATAGGAATGCTTGCAAAGTCCTCAAATCCTACAACTTCCTCTAAGAACTAAGGATTCTGCCTCCTTCCCCAATTACCAACTCGGAGAGCAGTGTCAGCACCGAGTCAGGTGCCACACCGAAAACAGGGCCTCACATGGTCTCCCTGATATGTTAAATCCAACATTACAAAGAGATATGACAAAGTAAACAGGACTTGAGACACAAAGGGCTTCCACTCAATTTGTCATATCATTCCTAAATGACTCCATGTTCTTGACCACATATATGGTATATATGTGTGTGTGTGTGTGTATATATATATATATATATATATATATATGCGCACATCTGAGGAAAGCTAGGAGGAAGACACAGAATCAGAGGGAGACAGGGGAAAACGTACAACAGAGAGACCCATCAGCTGCACTGGACATGGGTGAAAATGAACTAAACAACTCCAGGGCAGTGATGGGAGGGAGGGAATGAGAAAGAGGGAACAGCTTACACTAAGCAAAAGGAAAGAGATGTAAAACAGCTGTGTTGTGAAAGTTCATAGAATTCACAAATATTATAGACTATTGCCTTGTGAAGATTAAAATGTGTTTGCAGCTTTAAGTATCACTATCTCTCAATACTGTGAAGTCTGTGAAATTTATGCAATCACTTAATTTCAATAAAAAATTATATTTAAAAAAAAGAAAGAAAGAAAAAGGAAAACAGGGCCTGGTCTGTCCAGAGGGCTCAGTTAATAAAGACGGAAGTTGTTATTTGCACCCAGGGGCTCATGGCAGGCAGTGCTGGCGGGAAGCCCAATGCATGGCATGGGGCAGCGTCAGACCTAGCTCCTAGGCTGCTTTCTTCCCACCCATCAAACCTCACCTGACTGATAAGCTAAGGCTCAGAGGAAAAGCAACTTTGCCTAGGACCACAAAGCCCACCAGTGAAGTAAACTAGACTCAGGTCAAGATTCTGACCCCAAGCAAGATGGTATATCTTACCCCTCCCTGCTCTCCCCCCCCTCCCCCAAAAATGCCCAGACTGTCAGCACAGCTCACCCGCTCCTCTTTCCTCTGCATCCAGCTGTACTTCTTGTTGGGGTTCAGCTCCCGCGGAAGCCTCAAGTTCTTGAGCGGGTCCACAAAGGGGCTGTCCAGCACCTCCTTCAGCATGTGGCTGCTGGCGGCCAGGAGGCTCTCCAGGGAGGGCCGCACGGGAAGGCCCACCTCAGTGCCTGCAGAGGAGAGGCTGGTGAGCCAATGCAGGTGCAGGGGCCGCGGCCAGGTCCCAGCCCAGTAATTTCAGGCAGGCATGTAGCCACTCGGGCCCACCAAGGGAAAAGGCTGAGGCTCAGAGCCAGCGCAGGCCCCAGGACACAGCCACCCTAGCCACCTGGACTAAGGCTGAGATTCAGGACAGTGCACAGGAAACTGGAGACTTCCAAAGTCACGGAAGGCTGATAGGCTCTTCCCAAGACTGTGGCTGACTCCCAGGAACTGTATTATTTTTTGGGGGGTGGGGAATGTCCTGGGACTTGAACTCTGGGCCTGGGTGTTCTCCCTGAGCTTTTTTTGGTCAAGGCTAGTGCTCTACCACTTGAGCCACAGTTCTACTTTTGGCTTTTTGGTGGCTAATTGGAGATAAGTCTCACAGACTCTCCTGTCAGAGCTGGCTGTGAATCACAATCCTTGGATCTCAGCCTCCTGAGTAGCTAAGGATTACAGGCGCGAGCCACTGGTATATGGCCATGAGCTGAATTTCTCCACAGTGAATTCACACAGCTCCCTGTGTAAGCTCCCGAGATCGGAGCTGAGGACAGGAACACAAAGACAGGTGTGAAGAAGAAAAAAAAAACCTACTCCCAACACACACACCCCCTCCCTGGCAACAGCTTCTGCCAGATGATTCCAGAAACGTTTATTCATGCCCCAAAATTCCTGACATGCATGGGCATCCTATGTAAATACTAAAAGGAACTGATCAATACCTGGCATCTGTCACACTGAGCTGCTCTCTGCTCAGTGTGTTGTGTGCGCATGCACATGTGTGTGTGTGTGTGTGTGTGTGTGTGTGGAGAGAGAGAGAGTGTGTGCTGGTGCTTGAACTCTGGGCCTAATGTTCTTGTTTGGCTTTTTTACTCAAGATCGGTGCTCTATAATAATTCCACTTCTGGCTGTTTTGCTGGTTAATAAGAGATGAGTCTCTCAGATTTGTCTGCCAGGATAGCTTCAAACAAGATCCTCAGATCTCAGCTCCCTGAGTGGTTAGGATTACAGGCATGAGCCACAGTGTCTCAGTGTCTGGACTTCAGAATTGGTATGGAAGGTGTGCTGTTTTGTTTCCTGTGTCTCATGTTCTTTGGTGATACCAGGGCTCGAACTCAGGACCTGGCACTGCTAGGCAGGAGTTTTTGTACTTGAGCTGTGGCCATTGCTTGCTTTAGTTCTTTTTAGAAAAGGCTGGCCTCAGACCACGATCCTCTATCCTACCTTTGCCTCCGACATAGCTGGGATAACAGGTGCAGGACACCATGTCCAGCTTGTTAAAATGAGAATCTTGCTAACTTCTTGCCTGAGCTGGCTTTGAACCACAGCTCCACTTCTGGCTTTTTGGTGTTAAACTGGAGCAAAGAGTCTCACAGACTTTCTTGCCCTAGCTGGCTTCAAACTTTGATCCTCAGTGCTCGCTTCGGCAGCACATATACTAAAACTTTGATCCTCAAATCTCAGCATCCCAGATAACTGGGATTACGGATGTGAACCATTGGTGCCTGGCTCAAAATGTTGCATTTTAAATTGACATTTTTCCCCTTTGATGTAAAAATATAACAGAACTGGTAGAGCGCTAGCCTAACCAAGCATGAAGCCACCGGTTCAATACCAAGGACCAGAAGATTAAATGAAATTACTTATGAGTATTTTTGTGTGTCACCATTCCCCACACAAAGAAGAAGAAAAGGGTTGCATCCACCATCAGTCATCCAAGGTCCCAAAGATGGACTTGAAGAGTTGGTCAGAACATGAACTTTGGGGCTTCTCAGTCAGAGCGCTGTGCAGTACCTGCTTTCTACCACTAGGTGTCAGAAGCACTCCCCCAAACTGTAACTGACAACCAGAGATAATCACTGCCAGGCAGGCACTGGTAGCTCAAGCCTGTAATCCTAGCTACTAACCAAGGAGGCTGACATCTGAGGATCTCAGTTCAAAACCAGCCTAGACTGACCAATCTGAAAGACTCTCATTTCCAGTTAACCAGCAAAGAGCCTCTCCTGGTCAAGGGACGGCCTTAAGTGGAAAAAGCAAAGCAAGAAACCCCAGTCCTGGCAAAAAAGAAAGCAGCTGTAGCTGCTAATACTGTCACCTGGAAGCAAAGTCATCCCTCTGGTTTTACTTGTATATATCCTTAGGGAAACTGAGGCCACAGGAATTAGCTCTACCAGCTTAAGCTACAGCCGGCCAGCCCACCTTACAGGGCTGCCCCTGGACCACCAGGGCGTGGTTAGGGTCCTCAATATGGCAGGGTATTTGATCTGCTGTTCTGTGCTATAACAGGTGACCTGTCCACCTCTTTCCTTGCTGAGGCCCGCGACAGAGCTACCCAGAGCAGCCACCAGGCCAGTGTTGACAGGTTCACTTGTGCCCCCAAGTTACTAAATTGGAACCTAACCTGCTACCTGAGAATGTGGCCTGGGAATTAGTGACAGGGTCTCTCCAGCTTGTGAGGCAGGGTCCCAATTCAACATGACTATTAGCGTTCTCAACGAGGGGACAGTGGAGATGAGGGGAAAAAAACGGTGTCTGGGACCTGCATGGCCATAGAAAGAGAAAAAGAGAAAGAGGAAGAGGAAAAGCAAGGGGGGGGAGGGAGGGAGGGAGAGAGAATGCCAGCCTACAGATGTGGAAGTCTCCAATTCAGCTGGGCATTGAGGCACAAGCTTATCCTCCCAGCTACTCAGGAGCCAGGGGTAGGAAGATCTTGGCTCAAGGTCGGGGGATATCATGAAACCCTATCTGAAAATTAAAACCAAAAAGGCTGGGCACATGGCTACAGTGATAGAGTACCTGCTCGCCCAGCATGTACAAGGGCCAGGGTTCAATCTCCAACATCACAGAAGGAAGGGAGACAGGGGGGTTTGCGGCCCCCTAAGAGCCAGGGGCCGTCCCGGGAGGTGTGGACCATGTGGCTGCAGCATGTACCACACCAGCGTCCTTTGCTTTAACTCAGGCCCCCAATTGTTGGGAGCAACAGTGTTTTCTTTTTTTTGGGGTCTGGTTGTGGGGCCTGGGCGCTGTCCCTCAGCTCTTCAGCTCAAGGCTAGCGCTCTACCACTTGAGCCACAGCACCACTTCTGGCTTTTTT